CAGTCTCAGGACAGTGTCTTCTTCACAGCACTCCCTGCACCCCAGCTCTCCCCTCTCCCCTCAGCCGGGCACCCAGGAGGCCGCTTCCTGTGTCTGGAGTCGCCTGTCCTGGGCGCTTCCTGTCCAAGGAGCCCACGCTGTGCGTCCTCTGTGTCTGGCGTCTCACTGAGCGCGTCGCCCTCAAGGTCCCTCCATGCTGTGGCGGGAGTTACAGCTTCTTTCTCGGCTGAGTGACCTGAGTGACATCTGCATGTGCGGTGGACCCTGCTGGGTGTGTGCCCCCCACCCATGGCTGGGTGTCCCCTTGCGGGCTGCCATGGTGACACTCCTGTCCCAGGCCCTCTCTGCCCGGGCTGGAGAGTGGGTGCCGCCCCCGCAAGTGCTCTGTGCTGCGGGACTCTGTGGCCCGTGTGGCGTGGTAGCCCTGGATGTGCAGTGTGGGTGTCAGTGTGGCCGTGCGCCCTGCCGCAGGAGGGCGTGGAGGCGCTGTGGGTCTCTGCGCAGGCGGCGTGTCCTGCTTCAGCCCGACAGTGTGAGCCCCCGGGAAGGACCGGGTTCCCTGGAAGAGGCTCGGGGCCGCGGCGGGCCCTGACCTGCTCCCAGCGCCTTTCCTCTGCTCCCCCACTGGCTCGGGATGAGGGCAGGTCGGCCCCGGGACACTGGCCGTATCTGGGAGCATCTGTGGCTGTCACAGCAGGGAGCCCCTGGGACACGGTGGGTGGAGGCTCCACAGAGGAGGAGCCCCAGGGAATAACCTGGCCTGGAGGAGAACTGGGGTGCTGAGAGCCGCCTGCGGGGCACCTGGGCTTGTGGGTGCCCTTGCTGAGCACCGGGCCGGGAAGGAGAGGAACGGGGCAGGGCTTGGGGTCTGAGAAGCTGCCCGGTGGGTAGCTGCGAGCTCTGGTCTTAGCCGCGTGTCTGCCATCCAGGCAGGGCAGGGTCCTCTCGGGGGACTGGGGACAGAGCACCGTCCCTGGGGCAGGCGTCCTGGGGACTGAAGGGGACTAAGCAGCAGCCCTGGCTTCCACCACTGCGTGCGAGGAGCTCCCTGTCATTGGGACAGCTGTCACTGCCTCCGGTGTGCACGGAGAGTTCCGCGCAGTGGCCTTCAGTGAGTTCCTTGGTGGAAGTGGTGTCCCTTCCCTGTGACAGACGCTGCTGCCGGGAGAGTTGGGAGACGCTCCTGCCCCACCACTCACCTCTCACCACTGTTTGTTGGAGCCAGAGCCTGAGTTGCCCAGGGTCGTCTTGAATTTGCGATCCTCCTGCCTCAGGCTCCAGGATGCTAGGACGTCAAGCCTGCGCCGCTGCACCAGTTTGACTTAGTCTACTTTAATGTGATTTCGGGATCCTGTCCTCCACTGGGGGGTGACGGGTGGTTTGTTCGCCCTGCGGCCTGCTGCCTGTTCAAGGCCAGCCTGCACACGTTCAGGGCTCAGGGCTTGGGGGACACGTGGACACATGGCCTCTGTCTCTGTGTCTCCACAGATGGAGGATGGCCACACACTCTTTGACTATGACGTGCGCCTCAATGACACCATCCAGCTGCTAGTGCGCCAGAGCTTGGTGCTGCCGTCCAGCCAGAAGGAGAAGGACTCGGAGCTCTCGGACACGGACTCGGGCTGCTGCCTGGGCCAGAGTGAGTCGGACAAGTCATCCACACATGGTGAGGCAGCTGCCGACACAGACAGCAAGGCTGGCCTGGCTGGTGAGGACGCGTGGGACGAGACAGAGCAGGGACTCTACAAGGTGAGGCTCGTCCTGGCCCTCATGTGGAGGAGGCCGGTGCGTGTCCCCTCACGTTCCTGGAGGCGCACACAGCCCTCTAGGATCCCCACCTTCCTCTAACGTGGAGTCCAGCCTTGGGGTCTGTGGTGTCACCTCCATGGCCTACGAGGTGGCTGAGACCCTCCCAAGTCTGCTGCCCCTGCCAAGGCCAGGAAGTTCCTGGGACCCACCTGCATTTTGGCTGTCCTGGGGGACAGGGAGGCGTCTCCCTGAGCCATGCAGGCTGTGCTGGGCGGCGGGGCCTTCTAAGTCTCTTGCTCCTGCTGGGCCTGCTTGGCTCCTTTGGGCAGTGGTTCTCACCTAGGGCAGTGCTGCCCCCAGGGGAGCCGGGGAACGTCGGGGAACCCGTAGTTGTCACGGCTGGGGATGTCTTGGGCCTGGAGCTCAGCACCCTGCTGGTTGCCCACCCCACAGGAGGACGTGGCCCATGACCCCAGTGCCCTCCTGGGAGGGGAGGGGTGCTTGCGTTCATGTTCTGCACCCCAGGCACCCAGGGGCCCTGCTGGTTCCTCAGCCAGCCCGCTGAGACGACTGGGTTCCCTGTCCCTGCAGGTGAACGAGTACGTGGATGCGCGGGACACGAACATGGGTGCGTGGTTCGAGGCGCAGGTGGTCAGGGTGCTGCGGAAAGTGCCGACTGCGGATGATGAGCCCTGCAGCTCTACCGCCAGCCCAACGCCCGAGGAGGACCTCATCTACCGCGTGAGATACGATGAGTGAGTGGCCCCACTGTGTGTCCTCAGTGCTGTCCAGGCGATGGCAGTTGGGATCTGCACCCAGGTGGAGACAGAACACAGGGCCTCCCCCTCCTTGGCAAACCGTACCTTGCTGTAACAGGCTGACTCCCTCCTCCTCGCTCCTGATTTATTTCCAGCAGTGTTGGACAGAACCCAGGGCCTTTGCACATGCTAAGCAAGCGCTTACCACTGAGCTGCACCCCAGCTTGTTTTCCCCATTTTATTCCTGCATATTGCTTACGACTGAATGAAGCCAGCTTGCTGTCCCTCTCCTTCCTGGGATGTACGGCTGTGATCTGTCCACCAGGCCCTGCATGGGCACAGTGACGTGGATGCCGCCTTGATCCACTCAAGCTGCCGTCACAGACACAGGCTGGACGCGCTCGGCCTGTTTGCTCCAGGTTCTAGAGGACAGAAGGCCGAGGGCGGGCGTCTGCTCAGCTGCTAGCCTCTTTTATGGGACCCCAGGCCACTGGATGAAAACCCCACCCTCCCGACCCTGCGCAGCTGTGATTAACTGAGCAGCCCTGGCTGCTTGAGGGTCAGGGCTTCAACCTAGAGACCAGAGAGAGGACAGCTGGCAGACGGGACCGGAAGCTGGCGGAGCTCCTGCCCCAGGGTGTGGGCCTCTCCGCTCTCCAGCCCGGAACGTGTCTGGCGCATTGCACGCTTGGCCCCGAGGATAGTTACTGCCGGAGCCAGAGTGAGCAGATCCCCCTGGAACAGGCTCGTACCATCTGGGCTGGGAGTTTGCAAGCTCCAGCCTCGGGGCCAAGTGTGCTCAGCCTCAGCTCCATAGTAAAGTGTTAGGGAAACATTAGCACCCGTTAGTTGCCTGGGAGCGGGACCCAGGCATCCCAGACCATGACTTTTGAACCAGTGGTGGTGCACCCCTGTAATCCCAGTACTCAGGAGGCTGAGGCAGAAGGGTCGTTGTGAGTTCGAGGCCAGCCTGGATTACAAAGTGAGCTCAAGGCCAGCCTGAACTGCATAGCGAGAGCCTGTCTCAAAAAGACAAAAAAAACCCAGTGAGAACCTGTTAGAGCGCTCAGTGATGCAAACAGCCCCCTGCAGCACGCGTGCCAGAGGTTCCACTGCTCGTCTGGAATAGCAGCTTCCCATTGTGTTCTCACAGCCAGTGTGTTATATTCACATCACTGTGCTCCTCTGCAGAAAGGACATTCATTTATTTATTTATTCATTTATTTATGAGACAGGGTCTCTCTGTGTAGTTCAGGCTGGCTGGGCTCACTGTGTAGCCCAGGCTGGCCTTGGATTTATGGCGATCTTCCTGTCTCATCCCCCTGAGTGCTGTGATTGTAGGGGTGCGCCACCATGCCCGGTAAAGGACTTTTAATACATGCATGTTGAAAAATTACACTTTGTCCTCCCTGGAATCCGTCCAAGGGCCACAGCCTCCTTGCTTAGAATACCAGTTTAACAGCTGGAACCCCAAGGTCAAGGTGCTGGCCTAGGGTGGGGTGGTCGCTGTCCCTGGGGTTCCTGGGTGTGGTGACTGTCTGTCCCTAGCCACTGCCGCTTTCTCCCTCTCTGGCCTTCAAAGATGCTGGGGTACATCCTCCTCCATGGTGGGTTTTCTTCAGTGCTGGGGAATCAAGTCGTAACACCCGCAGTATGGCCTCCGCGTACCTGTAATTTCTTTCTTCTCCTTATGAGCCAGGGTCTTGCTCAGCCCAGGTTGGACTTGTATTACTATCCTTCCGCTTCAGCCTCCCAGAGTGCTGGGATAACAGGCGCACACTGACGTGCCGAGCGCAGCGTGACCTCATCTGAAAATGCAATGGCCCTGTTTCTGAGAGAGACCACCTTCACAGGCTCTCTCTTTGGGAGAATGGGGCCCAGCCTGTCCCACACACCCACCGCAGGGCACCTGAGTCTGGGGATGCTCTCCACGTACTGCAGCCTGGGGCCTTCTCCGGGTGCCCCCGGCTTTCTGCTGGGACAGCTGTGCCTGAGTCCAGCTTCTCCTCCCTGCTCAGCTACCCCGAGAACGGCGTGGTCACCATGAAACCCCAGGATGTGCGTGCACGCGCCCGCACCATCCTTAAGTGGCATGAGCTGGAGGTGGGCCAGGTGGTCATGCTGAACTACAACACCGACCACCCCAAGGAGCGCGGCTTCTGGTACGACGCCGAGATCTGCAGGAAGCGCGAGACGCGCACGGGGCGGGAGCTGTACGCCAACGTCAGGCTTGGGTGAGTGTGGGCCGGGCCGGGCTTTCTGGGGTCTTCTGTGGGCTTCCTGGGTAGTGAAGCCTGGGGAAGGCCAGAAGGTGCATGGGGAGAGGGCGGGGCAATCAGAGCCTTCTCTCTGAGCCTTTTTTGGGGAGGTGGGGGTTGAGGTAGGGCCTTGCTTTGTCTTTCAGGCTGACCTTGAACTCATGGTGATCCTCTTGCCTCAGTCTCCTAAGTGCTGGGGTGGTAGCTGTGCGCCACCATGCCTGGCCCACAGGCCTATTTTTGATTTTGGTTTTGAGACAGGGTCTCATTGCATCCCTAAATTGCCCAGGCTGGGCTTGAGATCCTCCCGCCTCAGCCTCCCAAAGTGATGGGATGACAGGTGCCCAACTGAGCTGCCTTTTCTGTGCATTCGATAGTCCAGGGAAGCTGTGGGGCATGGAGCTAAGAGTGTGCTGGCCAGCAGCCTCTGTCCCCAGGCTGATGCAGAGCCCCAGGACTCCAGCTGTTTCTGAGCGTAAAGCTGCTGGATGTGACCCTTGATTCCTTCAGTGCTTGAAGGTCAGAGCTATTGTGCTGACCGTGTCATATATCTGCTTTCTGGAGTTTGTGTCTTTTTTTTTTTTTTTTTCTGTTTTCTTATGGTACCAGGAATCAAACTCACAACCTTGTGCTTGCCAGGCAGGCCCTTGCCGCTGAGCTAAATCCCCAGCCCCTGGAGTTTGTGTCTTTAGTTTTATTTTGCTGGAGGTTTGTCAGGTTTTTTTGTTTTTTTGTTTTTTTGTCTTTTTGAGACAGGGTCTCGCTGTGTAGCTCAGGCTGGCCTTGAGCTCACTTTATAGCCCAGGCTGGTCTGGAACTCACAACGATCCTCCTGCCTCAACCTCCCAAGTGCTTGTCTGGCCCTTAAATTTTTTTGGGAATTAGCTTTTTGTTTTCTTGATTTTTTTTTTTTTTTCTGTATTTTTTTCTTTATTTTCAGTTTCATTGATTTTTTTTTTTTTTGCTCTTGATTTTTTTTTTTTTTTTGCTCTTGACTTAAATTTTCTGCCTTCAACAAAAGAAAAGGACCCCTCCCAACTCCTCAGAATGAGAAATTCTGTCTTCTGCTTGCTTTGGGTTGATTTTCTTCTGTTTTGGTTCCTTGGGGTGGGGTCTGTGTGGATTTGGAACAATTCCTTCTCTGTTGTGAGCCTTCGGTTTTCCCCTCAGCACAGTTTTACCTGCTTTCCCACATACTTGGCGGTGTTGTATGTGTTTTTGGTGTGTTTGTGAGACAGGGTCTGTCTTCAGAGTGCGGCCTGGCCTCGCGCTCGGGGTCCTCTTGCCTCATTCTCCAAGTGCTGGAATTCTGGGTGTGGGATACCACTCTGGCTTGAGACCTGTCTTTGGTCTGCAGTGTATTTAGGGCATTGTTTAACTTCCAAATGTTTAGCAGTTTTCCTGTTGTGTTTTTTATTCGTGGTTTGTTGCCTGGCTTCATCATGGTCAGGAACAGGCTCTGTGATTTTCGTTCTGTGAAGTGTGGGTTTAGGCCTGAGATGGCCTCTCTTGGTGACTGTTCCACGGCTACTTAAAGGAAAAGCTTTCCTGCTGAGGGGGTCGCTCCATGCATAGCCGTCCAGTTGGTTGCCTGTGGCCCAGATCTGCTCTTGCTGGACTTTGTCTCACAGTTCTGTCACGAGACTATAGTTTATTGATGTCCCTGGCTGTATCTGTGGGGTTTTCTGTTTTTTTGTGGCTTAACGTATTTTGAGGCGTTTTTTTTTTTTTTTTTGGTACCAGGAATCGAACTCAGGACCTTGCACTTGCCAGGCAAGCGCTGTGCCACTGAGCTATCTCCCCAGCCTGAGGCATCCTTGTTTGGTGCTTATGTGTTTACAGTTGTTACATCTCCTCGGGAAATTGATGCTCTGTGTGTGTGCATGTGTGATTAAACTCAGAACCTTCATACACACAGCTCCATCTCCAGCCCTTTTTAATTTTTATTCTGATACAGGGTCTTGCTAAGTTGCCCCAGGCTGAGCTCAAACTTACAGTCCTCCTGGCTCACGACTCCTGGCTGGCTTGATCTTTTCACCATTATGTGTTATACCTGTTTGTTTCTAACCTTTTTTTTTTTTCGAGATAAGGCTTCATTATGCAGTTCAGCTTGGCCTTGAGCTTGCTGTTCTCCTGCCTCAGGTTCCTGAGTGCTGAGATTCCAGTTGTGCACCCCGCCCCCCATGTCTGGCCATGGGTTTCTTTTCTTTGTAGGGCCAGGGATATGGGGCCCAAGGCCTAGGACATGGGAGGTACACAGTGCACCGCTGAGCTGCATCCAAGCCCCAGTAGCTGTTTTGTTTCATTACGTGCTGAAATAATATCTTGGGTACATCAGGTCGTCCAAATCATCCTACTTCCACCTGTTTCCTTTTGAAATGAACATCAGGAAATTCAGTGTATTTGCAACTTGAACTGTTTACCTTGGAGGTTGCTGATGAGGTTTTTATTATTATTTGCCTTATAAGACGCCTTTTTATTATTATTATTTTTTTGGGGGTACTGGGAATCAAACTCAAGACCTTGTGTTTGCCAGGCAAGTGCTTGTGTCGCTGAGCTATCTCTCCGGCGCCTAGAGACGCTTTTTTTAAGTCATAGGAGCTATTTTGATGTTGTTCATTTGGGTTTTTTGAGACAGGGTCTTCCTATGTAGCCCAGGCTGGCCTTGAACTCATTATGCAGTCCAGGCTAGACTGGAACTCATAGTGAGCCTCCTGCCTCAGCCTCCTGGATGCTGGGATGACAGCTGTGCACTACCATGCCTGGCTCTTGGGAGCTTTTGTATTTTTTTCTTTTTAAGGACCAGTCAGACTTTGTTGATGTTATTTGCTGTTGAGTGTCTCGTTGGCTTTGTGTGGCCAAGGTTTAAACGTCTCCCAAACACATCCCATAGTGAAGCTTTGGTGTATTTATTTTTGTCTCATGTCCACTTTGGCAGGACTTGACTTAGCAAGAGGGCTAGCCTCGATCCTGCACAGGGCCTGCACAGTCTCCTCCCTGACCTCCTTAGAACCTGTGTTCAAACGCAGCCAGAGTAGGGTGAGAGCAGAACCCTCTGAGCAGGTGTGGTGGCAGAGGCCTGTAATCCTGGCAGTAGAAAGGCTGAGGCAGGAGGATCCTCAGGTTCCTTCCTGATTGGGTGATGTAGTAAGAGCAGATGTAGCTCAGCCCTGGGTTATTTATCCAGTACCGAGAAAACAAAAATGACAACGAAGTGCTCAGGGGTGCCAGGCTGGGCTGGCAGCGGCCACTGATGCTGCGGGACGTCCTTCTGCAGGGACAATTCTCTCAATGACTGTCGCATCATCTTTGTGGATGAAGTCTTCAAGATCGAGCGTCCAGGCGAAGGCCCCCCCGTGGTGGAGAACCCCCTGAGACGTGAGTCCCGAGTGTCCCTGTGCACGCGTGTGGGGTCCCCTGCCCTGCCCTGTCCCCGTGGCCTCTGACCCTGCCCTCCCGCGCAGGCAAGAGCGGCCCGTCCTGCAAATACTGCAAGGACGACCCCAACAAGCTGTGCCGTATCTGCGCCTGCCACCGCTGTGGGGGCCGGGAGGCGCCCGACAAGCAGCTGATGTGTGACGAGTGTGACATGGCGTACCACCTGTACTGCCTGGACCCCCCGCTCAGCAGCGTGCCCCCGGAGGAGGAGTGGTGAGGGCCGTGGGCGCCAGCCCCCTGGGGGCATGGGAGTGGGCGGGCGTGTCCCTGAGGTCCCCGCCCTGACACCCCGTGTCCCACCCATTCCTGTGCTGGTGGTGGCCGTGCTGTCCCCTGGGGAGGGCTGCCCGGCTTCCTGGGAGGACCGGGAGCTCTGTGTGCGAGGAGGGGTGGGCCCGCTGCGGCAGGGACCTGGGTTCTGAGTGTGCTCAGCCCGAGTCCCTCTCCTTGGCTCCAGCTGCCTTGAGCCCTGCATCGGGGCAGAGGGGCTGAGGGCCCCTGAGGTGACGCCCTGTGCTCACAGGTACTGCCCTGACTGCCGGAACGATTCCAGTGAGGTGGTGCTGGCCGGGGAGCGGCTGCGAGAGAGCAAGAAGAAGGCGAAGATGGCATCGGCCACATCGTCCTCGCAGCGGGACTGGGGCAAGGTGAGGCAGGCCCCCAGCCGGGCGCACGCCACCACTCGCCTCCCCTGCGCCTGCTCATGGCTGCCCCCCTGTGTCTCCGTGTGCAGGGCATGGCGTGCGTGGGGCGCACAAAGGAGTGTACCATTGTCCCGTCCAACCACTATGGACCCATCCCGGGCATCCCCGTGGGCACCATGTGGCGGTTCCGCGTGCAGGTACTGGCGACATCTGCTCCAGGGCCTGCTGGGGTCCAGAGCCTGGCTCGGGGCCACAGGGCTCCTCCTGTTGCTGCAGGGCCAGTTCCCTGGCTGAGGCCTGCAGGGCAGTAACAGGCTCCTTGGGCATCTCCGCTCCCAGGGCATGAGGGTGGAGGCCCGGGAGCCCGGGACACAGGCAGAGTTCCATGTTGGCGTTAAGTTCCTGACTGCCAGCTGGGCGTGTGACGACATCCTCTGCCTCCAGTGGCTCTGTCAGCACCCAGTGTCACCTGCAGCATTGGGGGGTGTTGTGGCTCTTTTTTTGTTTTTCGGTATTGAGGATTACACCCAGGGCCTGCACACTGAGCTACATCACAGCCTTTTTTATTTTGAGACAGGGTCTTGCTAAGTCGCTCAGGCTGGGCTTGAACTTGCCTTTCTCCTGCCTCAGCCTTCCAGAGTATTGGGATGACCAGTGTGCATCGCTGCATCTGGCTAGCCTTGGTTTTATATTGGGGCCGCTCTAGGTGCACAGGGTGGCTAGGTTGTAAGCCCCCACCCTCCGTGTGGGCCAAGGAAGGGTGGGAGCACCAAGCCTCACAAGGTGGCGGATGAGGTCCTGCTCTCCCCTGGATACCGCTGATGGTGCTGTCTGTCTCTGGTGTCCGCAGGTCAGTGAGTCCGGCGTCCATCGACCTCACGTTGCAGGTATCCATGGCCGGAGCAACGACGGGGCCTACTCCCTGGTCCTGGCCGGGGGCTATGAGGACGATGAAGTGCGTGAGTTGGGGGTGGTTTTACTTTTTTTTTAATCCCCCCCTGTTGTTTTTGAGGCAAGGTTGTACTGTGTAGCCCAGGTTGGCCTTGAACTCTTTGACAGTCCAGCCTCACTCCTGAGTGTTGGGATTACAGATGTGTCCCATCCCATGCCTGGCTTACTGTATGTGCATTTTCAAGTGTGTTAATTGCCTGCTTCTTCCCAGGGTTTCACTTTCCACATTGACGTTCAGTTAGGAATGGTCCAAAAATAGTAAATGGAAAATTCCAGATCTAACTGGTTCATCCATTCAAAGTTCCGTGCTATTCTGAATGGCATGATGCACTCTTGTGCTGCCTACTTTCATCCTTAGTTCAGCATTTCCACACAGTATGTGCTACCCTCCCATTAGTCACCAGGCATTCCTTCTGGTAACGTGTGGTATCACAGCACTGTGTTCCTGTACTTACTTAATAGGGGCCCATAGACAACAGAAGAGTAATGGTGGCAATGCATATGCCAGCTGAAAGCAGAAAGTGGTCCCCATAAATGAAAAGATAAAGTTTATGACTTCATAGTACTACTGTCACTGTATACTGAAGTTGCTAAGAACAAATCTATCTGGAGTTGGGAAGCAGGAAAAAGAAAGTTGTGCTAGTTGTGATGCTTAAGATGGAAAAAGCATTAAATTAAATAGAGTTTGGATCCAGGGATGCTGGTACATGCCTGTAATTCCAATATTCAGGAGTCTGAGGCAGGAGGATCTCCCTGAGTTCCAGGCCAGCCTTGGCTACATAGTGAGTAGAGTTCGGTACAATCTGAGGCTTTAGACATTCACTGGGGGTCCTGCAGCATATCCCCTTCCCTTAAAAGGGGGCTACTGCACAGCTCACATCAGTAAGCACATTCCCATGGCTGTGTGGCCCTCACCACGTCCACCTCAAGGCTTTCCATCTCCCCATACGAGCCTCCCTCCCCTCCCTTCCCCTCCCCAGCCCAGCACCACCGTTCTCTTTCCTGTCTCTGTGGATCTGGTGACGCTGGGCCTCCTGGGAGTGGGGCCCGACAGTGTCCGGCCTCCTGTGCCTGGCTCAGCTCCTGAGCAGCACGGCCTTAAGGTCCGTCCATGGTGGAGCAGGTGTCAGGACTTCTTCCCTTTCATGGCTACGTGGTACTCCATCGGCTGGATGGACCCCTGATGTGTATCCATTCGTCTGTTGATGGACACTTGGGCTTCCCCACCTTTTGGCTGTGTAAACAGTACTGCTGTGCACATATAAGAGCATGGCTTCAAGATCTGCTCTCAGTTCTCCTGGGTACACACCCAGCAGTGGAATTGCTGGGTCACATGATCTTGTTTTTTCTTTCAGTACTGGAGATTGAACTGAGGGTCTTTGCACTGGGCTTCTTCCTCAGCCCTTTTGAAAAGTTTTTTTATTTCTTTAAATTTTGAGTCAGGGCTTTGTTAAGTCATTAAGTCCCCCTGGCTGGGCTAGAGCTTGCCATCCTCCTGCCTCAGCCTCCCAGGGTCATCTTATGTGCAGTTTCTTGAGGAAGCATCTTCCTGTTTCCTCAGCAGCTGTACCCTACCGTACTATGTTACCTTCCCACCATGGCACCTGTGGGCCCCGCCTTGCGCTGTCACCCAGCTCCCTTGCTCTTTGCTACCTGCGGTGCTGGTGGGGGGGTGTGTGGGCTGTTTCCCCGGCTGCCCTCCTCTCCTCGGTGGAGGGCTCACCCTGGCCCCCTCTTCTCTGTTGCAGGACAATGGGAATTCTTTCACCTACACAGGTAGTGGTGGCCGCGACCTTTCTGGCAACAAGCGGACTGCTGAGCAGTCGAGTGACCAGAAGCTCACCAACACCAACAGGTTCGTTGCGTGGAAACGGGTTGTCCAGTGTTCCCCAGAGGCGCCCCACGTGTCCCTGGCTGTGGTCTGGGGTCGGATCTGGCAGGTGCGGAAGCCCGCGTAGAGTGTGGCAGGGATGGAAGTACAGACTGAGGCAATGTTCAGAGCCTACTTATATCCCCTGTGAAACTGGCCAGAAACTCCAAAGTGCTGAGAAATGCCAGGGCGGAAACGGACGCGCAAAGGCAAGCTGCCGCCGTCTCCAGAGCGCTCTTTCCGCAGAGCCTGGCGCGTCGCAGCTCACCAGGCGGGTCTCCACTCTCTCAGGGCCCTGGCTCTCAACTGCTCCGCGCCCATTGACGACAAGAAGGGTGCGGTGGCCAAGGACTGGCGCTCGGGGAAGCCGGTGCGGGTCGTGCGGAACATGAAGGGTGGCAAGCACAGCAAGTACGCGCCCGCGGAGGGCAACCGCTATGATGGCATCTACAAGGTGAGCAGCGCCATTGGCCACGTCCTCCACGGTTGGCCCAAGACCACGCCCACCCGCTTGGCCACGCCCACCCGCTTGGCCACGCCCATCTTGGCCACGTCCTTGGAGGACCCAGACCTTCGGTCCCAGCCACATCCCTCACTGACACTCCCGGCCATGCCCTTGAGCAGCTCGGGATCAGGACCCTCGGCCCTGCCCCTCCATTCCCAGGCATGGTTCTCGCTACAGGCCTCACGCTTCAGCACCCCCTACATGAACACGGCCCAGACCTCCTCCGCAGCAGGCCTTCCCCGGCTGCGCCCTTCTAGGCCCACGCCCCTTCCGCCGACTCCCAGCCCACCTCTCCCTGCAGGTCGTGAAGTACTGGCCGGAGAAGGGCAAGTCCGGCTTCCTCGTGTGGCGCTACCTCCTGCGGAGGGACGACGACGAGCCTGGGCCCTGGACGAAGGAAGGGAAGGACCGCATCAAGAAGCTGGGGCTGACCATGCAGGTGCGCCCGGCCCGGCACCACCGTGGCCCCACAAGGCCCCGCTGTTGCAGTTCTGCGGTCTCTTTCTGTTCTGGTTCTGGGTGGAGCAGGAGCCAGCGTGGGGTCGTCTAGTGAGCAGCCGCCCGGGCCCGCGGCTCCCTGGCTCCGAGCCTCTTCCCAATTCCCCGCCCCAGCTGCGCGGCTCCTTTCGAGGCTTTGCGGGTGCGCGGCTCGGGTGCGCTTGCGCTTTGTGCATCACCTGTGCAGAGGGAGAGCTCGGCCTGCTCGGCAAGCCTGTGTGTGGAGGGCTCTGGCCCCGTCCCCGGGAGCCGGTCTTTCCTGCATGCGCCACCTCCACCTGCTCGACAGAAGCAGGAAGGAGCGGCAGAGCCGCAGCGGCAGGGCCTGCGTGCGGCAGAGCGGGAGCCCTTCCTTCTGAGAGGGCCGTGCGTGCGGGTGCGGCTCAGGCGTGCCGTAACCGTGCTGTTTGCTGTTCGCTGCTCATCCCGTGCACTTGCTGTGCAACACATAGATGTTGGGTGCTAGTTCAGGAATCTTTAAATAATTTTTTTTGTCTTTTTTTTGAGACTGGGTCTTCCTATGCAGTTCAGGCTGTCCTTGAGCTCACTTTGTAGCCCAGGCGGGTCTCAAACTTGCAACGATCCTCCTGCCTCAGCTTCCCCAGTGCTGGGATTACAGGCGCTTTCAGGAATCTTAATTTCTGTTGAGAATCAGAGAGCACCAAACCCCTGGGGGCCACAAGGGCTGTGGGCAGTGCATTTGTGCTGCCTGGGAATTTCAGCCCTGGGGCGGTGGGGGTGGGGCTGTCAGCGTCTGGCAGGGTGCAGTTTTGTTTCACGACTTTGGCTGGCACTGTGACCACAGCTTATTTGTGCAGGTCGCAGGTCTGTCTTGCTGTGTGTGTACTTTCTCTCCGGTACTGGGCCGGTGCTCACCACCGTGCCACACCCCAGCCTGTCAGCCCCTCTGTAGGAGAGGGGGTGAGGCCCGGGCACCCTGGGGACCAGTCTCTGAGGATGGGCGCCGGGGCGCGGCTGTCTCACTGCATCCTCTGTCGTGCAGTACCCAGAGGGCTACTTGGAAGCCCTGGCCAACCGGGACAAGGAGAACAAGAGGGCGGCCGAGGAGCGGGAAGACCTCTCGCCCTCCAAAAAGGGCAAGTGGAAGCGGAAGTCGGCAGGTGAGCGTCTTCCCGTGCCCCGTGTGCCCTGTCGTGCAGGGGCGCCGGCCACGCTCACGCACTCTCCTCTCTAGGCCAGGGTGGCTCTGGCGTGTGGACCACCAAGAAAACCAAGCTGGAGCCCTACAGCCTCACAGCCGAGCAGAACAACCTCATCAAGGCGGACGAGAGCAACGCGAAGCTGTGGACGGAGGTCCTCACGGCGCTCAGGGAAGGCCTGGTGAGTGCCACCCAGCGTGGGCCGTATCAGTGACGTGTGCGTATGGAACAGTGGCCCGCCAGACCCTGTTCAAGCACGTGGCTCAACGGCACCAAGTGCATCCCATGCTGCGTGCCGTCCCCACCGTCTTCCTCCAGGACTTCGCACCTTCCCGAGCTGAGCCTCCATCCCCTCCCCAGCCGGGCACTGCACCCTACTTCCTGTCTCTGTGACTCTGAGGACACTAGAGCCTCCTGGGAGTGGGGCTCTGCAGTGCGTGACCTTCTGTGTCTGGCTCAGTCTGAGCAGCACAACCTCCAGGTCCATCTTTGCTGTAGCAGAGTCAGGATTTCCTTCCTTTACCTGGCTGAGTAATACTCCAGTGTGCAGGTGGACCACGCTGTGTATCCATCCTCCCCTGTATAGTTCCACTTTTGAGCTGTGTGCTCTGTGACCCCGGGGTACAAACGTCTTTCCTGTTTCCTGCTTTGACTTCAAGGTGTATCCTAGGTGGGGAATTGCTGGATCAGGACCGGGAGGCATGTGTTTAGCTTTCTGAGGAACCTCCAAGCCAGGCCTGTCTCTGTCTTCCTGCCCTTAGTGGGCTGTGACACTGGTTGGTCTTTGCCAGTGAGAGGCTGCAGTCACCAGCCACTATGGACCTCCTGAGTCTGGCTCAGCTTCCCTGACCCATAGGAGTCTCTTGGAGCTGGTATCATATAAGATCTCAAGCCTGGTGGCTCAGAGCAACCCAGACTGTTCTTTACTTTTTTGAGGCGGGATCTTACTGTGTAGTGCAGGCTGGCCTTGAACTCACTATGTAGCCCATACTGGGCTCAACTCATGGTGATCCTCCTGCCTCAGCCTCCTGAGTGCTGGGATTACAAGTGTGTGCCACCATGCCAGGCTTTCTTGCCAGTCTTGGCACTTGTTCCATGCCAACGTGTGAGGGGCCTTTCTGATCCCCCTGCTAGGCCCACTGGGGGCTCTGGGCGTGACCTGCTTGGACCTGGGTTTGGCTCCTTGTCACAGCATGGGCACCCAGCTGCTCCTGCTTGGGGTCGGGGCACGCGTGGTGCGGCTGACGAGTGTGCCTGTGTGCAGTTCCAGGTGTTCCTGAGCAAGGTGGAGGAGACGTTCCAGTGCATCTGCTGCCAGGAGCTGGTGTTCCAGCCCGTCACCACCGTGTGCCAACACAACGTGTGCAAGGTGAGTATGGGTGGGCTCAGCGATGACGGCTCCCCCTCGGCAGCCCCTGCCCGCGGCCTGTTAGGTGCCAAGGCTCAGGGTGAGGGGGCAGGGAGCAAGGCTGCCTGGACAAGGAGGTGGCACTGGGCAGCACCGGGCGTCGCTGGCAGCGGGCGGGGGGACGTGCAGGGACGTGGGCCGGGCCCTGTGGCATAAGTGGCCCTTGTTTCCTTCTCCCTGTGGGTGTTTATGGGGCAGCTGCTCAGTGTAGGCACCGTGCTCGTGTCAGGAGGGTGCAGGGGCCACCGAGCCCGGACCTGGGCAGGTGTGGCTGTCACATGCAGGGAGGTGGGGTGGGTAGGCCAGGAGGGCCTCGAAGGCAGTGACAAGCCCCTCACAGCCAGCCCAGGCCACAGTTGCAGGAGCTGACGAGCCTGGCACATCTCAGGGACCCTGTGGAGGCCAAACTGGCAGCAGGCAGCGAGCAGTAGACAGGGAGAGGGGACAGCAGGCAGTGGTATGGGCACCAGGCCAGGGCCTCACTGCCCACCCTGTCTCGCAGGACTGCCTGGACAGGTCGTTCCGCGCCCAGGTCTTCAGCTGCCCGGCCTGCCGCTATGACCTGGGCCGTGGCTACAGCATGCAGGTGAACTCGGCGCTGCAGGACATCCTCAACCATTTCTTCCCCGGTTATGGCAGTGGCCGGTGATCCCCGAGCACTTCCGGCGGCGCTGGACCCCGTCCTGGTGCCTGGCCGCGGCCTCGTCTCTAGCGGGCTTAACTTAAACGTGTAGTTACCCTCCGCTCCCTGAAAGCCTGTCTTCCCTGTTTTTGTTTTCGTTGTTTAATGTATACGTTTTCAGGAATTTCCAAGTTCTAGCTGCAAGTTGGACTTGTGAGCGTTTGGTTTAGTTGTATCAAGAGTGTAAAGCTGCGATTTATCTGCATGAGATGGCATTGGCCACGCGGCCCGAGGCGGCGTTGGTTGCTGGTGAGGAGGAGGTTGCAGATGCTCCCGCCACCGACTGCTAAGAAGGCGCCCGCCCGGCTGCGAGGTTCGGGGGCTCGGGGGTCCCCTCCTCCCCAGCGTCAAAGCCGACCGTCTTTCTGAAGGCAGCAGTATGGTTCCTGGTGGGGCCCCGCTGTCGCCAAGAGGCTCTTAAGAGAAGAGGACGGGGTTCCTCCGCAGGAGCCCTCCCACGGCGCCTCCGAGCTGCCCACCAGTCCTGTGTCCGGGCGGCCGCCGGGCTGGGCAGCATCTACCTCACCTCCGCGTGGGGCCGCGGGCCGGGGCGGCGGGAAGCAGGCGCGGTGGAGCCCGGTCCAAGTGCCTTCGCTCGTCCTCAAGACTGGGCTCTTCCTTTTTAGCACTGAATTGTGGAAAAACGCCAGCCAGATTTTCTGAAGACTGCGCGTCCGTTTCTTCCTGGCGCTCAGTGGGTGCTGGGGGTGGTTTGCGTTTTACCCATCATTTAAGGTTTTTTTTTTTTTTCTAAGACTCAGCAATTGACACTTACAAGAGGGGATTTTTTTTCTGTTTTTTGTTTGGTAATGAATATTTTTTCAAATGAAATTTTTTTTTTGTAGTATATATGTACCAAGAAAGATATAACTTAGGGTTTGGTTGTGTTATTTTGGGGTTTTTTGGTACTTTTTTCAAAGGATTTGTTCATTTTTTTCTAACTTTACCAAAGTTTGCAGCTTATACCTCAGCAGACCCAGGGATGTTTAAATCACATAACTGCAGACAGACCGAAGCAATACTGTTTTTAAAGGGTTGTTCTTTGTTTTTTTTTCTTTATTAGATTGTTAATGTATTAGGGAAGAAATAATGCAATTCTCTGTAGGCTTTTTCCGAAGTTGAATATTCTTTGTGCAGATTTTAGATTCTCAGAATAAATGTTTTTCACAGAAGCATGTGGTTGGCTTTGTGTTTGCAAACAGCTTTGGGCCCTGTATCTTTTCTCATCTATAATTTTCTTTTTTTTTTTGGTTTTTGTCCGGTACCGGGAATTGAACTCACAACCTTGCACTTGCCAGGCAGACACTGTGCCACTGAGCTAAATCCCCAGCCCCTTCACCTATCATTTTCTGTCCTCAGAAACCCCGAGAGAAAAGTTGGCAGGAGATATCACTCCCACTTTATGTAATTAATATTTTTGCATTACTGGGCATTGAACCTGGGGAATGCTGATTTTTTTTGGTTTTTTTTTGGAGGCAGGGTCTTGCTGTACAGTTTAGGCTGGCTTTGAGCTCACTTTGTAGCCCAGGCTGGTCTCGAACTCATAACGGTCCTCCTGCCTCAACCTCCCAAGTGCTGGGATTACAGGCGTGTGCCACCATGCCTGGCTTATCACAAAATACCATCTGTGGTCCTTGTGTGAAGTGACTGACGGACATCTGTAAAGGACAGAACAGCTGGGACAGAGCTTAGAGGGTTGCTGGGGGAGTGGCTGAGTGTGAAGTGTGTGGGATGTGAATTATATCTCAAAACATTGTCAAGTGTAAACATAAGTGAGAAATAGGAAAGATGCCTGGTCTGTGGAACAGAGGGCTGTGAATGTCCCCTGGCGAGATCCTTCAGAAGACCAGCCAGGTCTGTGGAGATGGCCGCTGTCCATCTGGCTTCCTGTCTTCAGGTGGATTTTTGAGACAAGGCTCTGGCTATGTAGTTCAGGCTGGCCTTAGACTTGTGCCAAGCCTCCTGCATCAGCCTCCTGAGTGCCTGGATTATAGGTGTGCACCTCAGTGCCTGGCTCACAAAAAATGTGGAAACTCCAAAAGTTTGTGAGACTGTTCAGCCCAATGGTATGATTATTTCTGTATATTTCTCTCCTGGTTGATTTTTTTTTTTTTTTTTTTTTTTCTGAGACAGGGTCTCGCTGTATAGTTTAGGCTACCCCTGAACTCACTATTTATGTAGCCTACCCTGGCCTTGAACTTGTGGCAATTCTTCTGCCACAGTCTCCCAAGTGCTGGGATTACCGGCATGCACTACCACACCCAGCTAGTTGACTTATTTTATAACAGCTTTATTAGAAGAGATTTCATAGGGCTCAGGCTGTAGTTCAGCAGTATAGCGCCTGCCTGGCAGGGATTTGAACCCTGAGTTCCATTCCCAGTACCAAAAAAAGATTTCATGTAACAGCACCCATTTAAAGTATACAGTAAGTCCCCAACTTCCAGGAGAACTTTTCAAGTTGAATCCATTCATAAGTCCAACAAAATGAGTCTTACACACCTCTGACACGAATATACAAAGTGAAGCATAAAAACCATACGTCCTGGGCTCAGTGAAGTGCCAGACTATGGGACGGTGAGCACCAGCAGCACAACTGACCCGCCCGGTCTGTCAGCTACTTCTGTGTTTCGTCTGTATCTACGATGTTCCTAATGTGGGGTCAGTTCGGACCTGTGAGAGTTGGCAGCTTGAATGTTCCCACGTCGGGGGCTTACTGTGCAGTTGATTGGTTTTTACTGTTTTCTCGGAATTGTGTAACCATCACCACTATCTAATTCCAGAACATTTTGTTACACTATAGAGCAACTTTGTCCCCATGAGCGGGCACTGCTGATCGCCTCCGCAGCACCTGGCATCTGCAGGTCCACTTCCTGTCTCTGCGTTCTCCTGTCCTGGACGTTTGCCGGCCTGGAGCCCGTGTCGTGTGTGCTGTGGCAGGTTGCTCACTGAGCACGGCGTCCTCAAGGTCTCTCCACACTGGCGAGGGTCACAGCCGCGCTCCTTCCCTGGCAGAGTGAACCTATTACCCTTGGGTTCAATCTCTAGTACTGAAAAACGAAGAGTGAATTGAACACATTTTTACAATCTCCCTGCTTGGCTTTTGTTTAAATGTAAAACTTTTGCTGCTTGGCTGGGCATGGTGGCACACACCTGTAATCCCAGCATTTAGGAGGCTGAGGCAGGAGGGTTGCTGGCAGTTCACGGCCATCTTGCACTACAAAGTTGAGACCCTGACTCAAAAAACGAAACACATTTTTGCTTCTGTCCCTCACCCCTGGTTATAAAATGAATGCATGACCACCTTAGAAACTGTGAAGGGGCCAGGGATATAGCTCAGTGGCACAAGTACCTGCCTGGCAAGTGCAAGGTCCTGAGTTCCATTCCTGGTACTCCCCCCCCAAAAAAAACAAAACTGAAGAAAAATAACAATCCCACCATCTGTGGGTGACGTCTCGGTGTGCATTTCTTTAGGGGTTAGTTATGCATGTCTGTATATTTGTTGTGAACCCACTAGTTGCTGGTACATGGTTTAAGTGCAAAACAACTCATAGTTTTTTATTCTATCACCATTTTATAGTGAGGAAAACTGAGGGACAAGAAGGGTAAGTGGCTAGAGCAAAGATGGCAAAAGTAGGGTGTGTATGTGTGTTTATATATGTCTCATATTTAGAAGCAAATTTGGGATATAGCTATATATTCCATTTCATGCCTGTTTTTCTTTTGTTTTTTTTTTTTTTGTGTTAGGATTTGAACTCAGGATCTTGTACTTGCCAGGCAGGCGCTTGTGCTGCTGAGCTGTATCCCTGCCACCCCTACCCCCTTTTGGGAGTTAAAGTTTTGCAGTGAGCTCAGGCTGGGCTCGAACTTGGAATCTTCCTGCCTCAGCCTCCCAGAGTGTTGGGATAACAGGCAGGCATGAACACATTAGGCCACCCACTTCTAGTTCTCATGGTCCAATCCATAAGGTGAGGGAGCCTTTGCCTAGCATCAAGTGCTTCTTGGTGCCACGCCTTGCCTTTGGGGACACTGAAGGCTGGATAGCAGCTGTAACTTGACTACTGGCCCTACTGACTGAGGGACCCTCGACATCTGAGGTCCAGGGCTGGAGGTTCTTCAACACAGTGCCTGGCCCCAGCCTGTGATGACATACCTGTCTGCAGAGTTCGCCTGTCGCTTTAACAATACCTTCTTATTTTGCATATGGCACCTTTTAATTAAACAGCAGAGATTTGTTTTTTTCTAACGTTTTATTAACATTTTCAACAGAGAAAAGGTGTACGAATTGTTTGGTGAGCTTCAAATATGCTCACCATTTAGACTCCGTGATTGTTAATGTTTTCCACATAACTGGATTTAAAAAGTGTCGCCAAGCAAAATAAAGGAAAATTGACTATTTAGGTCCCCTGCTTAAGAAAAACACTAAAATTTCAGTCTGTGAAATGCAAACATCTGGAATTCACTGATTTACAGGATAAACTTGGATGTAGAGGGAAAAAAAGCCGTGTGGGGAAATCCCTTTATGAGAGCATTTATTTTTATCTTCGGTGGTGCTGGGGATGGAACCCAGGGCCTTTGCACTGAGCTACATCCCCAACCCTCCCTCCCTTCTTCCCTTCCTTCCTCCCTTCCTTCCTTCCTTCCTTCCTTCCTTCCTTCCTTCCTTCCTTCCTTCCTTCCCAGGGTCTCGATAAGTTTCTTAGGCTAACTTTGGACTTGGAGTCCTCCTGCCTCAGCCTCCTGAGTATCTGAGATCACAGGTGTACCTGCTGTGCAGTAGGACCATTATCCAATCCCTTTTCTAGCTTTGCCCCAGGTTAAGGAGTTCCTGAGGGCGTTTTCTATTTCCTATTTTAAAGATGAAGTTTAAATTCCATAAGGGATACTTGAATAGGGTCCCCTAAGAATTCTAAACAGCCAGAACGGCTTCACATCCCCTTTGGACTACTCATTTTACTGGAGTGGGTCCCTCCTCCCCACGGACTCAGTCGCCTCAGTCAGGAGGTTGCTATTTTTGAGGCATCTGCACACAAGTGCATTTCTGGAAACCCCGGAGTATGGTGTGTGTCTCATAATGTGTCTTACTGAGTGCAGAATTTTGGAGAATCCCAGCGCAGCGTGCTGGCACCCTGCTGACGGGCGTTGGGAGCTGGGGTAAGCGGCAGGTGGGGCCCCCAGCGCCGGGTCGGCAGCCTTGGATTGCAAATGCCGAAGAAAGCCTTGGCGGCCGCAGAGAAGATGCGCTCTATCGCTAGAAAACGCCAAAGCGCCCCGTTGACATTTCCTACCGGTGAAAGGGGAGCGCGCCCATGCCCTTGCCCTGCCCAGTGTACAATAATAGTGACGATGGCGAACATTAGTTACACGCTCACTACACGAAGCCTCGGAGTCGAATGCTCGCCGGGGATGCGTGCGTATGTGTGGGGTTTGTAGACCTGCAGTCCGGACCTGGGGCACTGAGTTCCCCAACTTGCAAAGTGCCCAGGTGCCATAGGAGACAGCGCCCAGAGCAGTTTTTACGGGAAAGAGAACTAAGCCTTGGGGAAATGCTTCATTCTCTCAAGCCTTTGCCCCTTGGCAAAGATCTCCTGACCTGCCGTAAGGGTTCTAGGCGCTTGTCGCTTGACCCTACTTCTCCAGTTCTCCGTCCTCCTCCTTTGCAAAATGGGTTGCTTTTGGGTGCTCTGTTTCCTAGCTCAGCATGTTGCAAATTTGCATCCCCCACCGCGTCCAATTTCCGGCCACAGGTCTCGAACTCCTGGCCCCGCGTTTCGGGCAGGAGGGGCTGATGTTGTGCGGGCTCTCACGTACTCAGCTGCCGCCTGATAACCGGGGCGGGGCCCGGAGAGATCACACATTGATTGGCACCCACGCTAGCCAGTCGGCGCCTCGGGCCAATCCCGCAAGCTAACATTCGCTTCTCTGAGAGCGGTCGTTGGGCGGTCCTCAGGGCACCCTCGTCAGTCTCTGGCCCCGACGCTGTCGGGTTGGTCTTTACTGCTTTACCTGGCGTGCGCTCCCACCAATGAGAGTTGAGCCGGTCAGCGGGCACGTGAGTGGGCACCGGCGTGTCCCCGGCCGGCCGGCCAATAAGGGCACAAGGCTGGCTCTCGTACTAGCCCAATCGGGGTGCGCAGGGCGGGCCCTGCGGTGTTGATGGACCCGGTGGAGGGGA